GTAAATCTGCATGTATTTTGTATACTCAAACGTGAGTCCGAAAACCATGTCTTGTGAAACGGACTTATTGCAAAATTGCACCACATCTTCCGTCGTTTTCTCTTTCTACATTGTTTATATGTTACACTATGACACGTAAAAAGCATACATTCACGATTTAAATTAATGTTTACTTCACATCGTGGACACTTAATTTGTGCGTGAATAACTTTTCGCTGTGTCAAAAAATTTATTAATTTATTATAATTCTCAACGAGGCTCAGAAATTCGTGTAGTTGCATATTGAAAACTTTCAACGAACTGCGAGGAAGTGAACCCGATTGTTGACAAAATATCAATAATCATGTAGCTATGTTTCAAATAATGTAAATAAAAACATTTTACTTAGAAGGTTATAAACAGACTAGTACAACGTACATAAACACGAGTGCTCCTAATATCAGTTTATAATACCGAAAGAAAATCATTAAAATTGTCAAACTTGAATTTGTTATACCTTCTAAACCAATATCGTCCACTATTTGATTCTTGCGGGGAGTTACTCAGAACACTTTTCTCTACTTATTTAATAATTTACAAAATTATAGAAATCGGGGGTGTCTCTCTGTCTCTATATTATTACCCAAATGTTAACTTTAAATATCTCAGAAACTATAAGAGACCGCCGGTTAAGTTATAAGGAAAAATTACTCAGGGTTATGTCCTTGACAACATATGTCAAGGTCATCGGTGAGGTATAACCTAATATGCATATTTACCAAAAATACTTTATTATAGTGTTTTGGAAAGCTCTCGACATAAGTTATAAGAATATGCAATGAAAAATGTGGGTTTCCATTTAAGAAATTGTAAGTGACCTTCATGTGACCTTCAAATGACTATCCAAGGTCACATCAATGGCACCATCTTATGTCCCCCTTTGAACCAAACAACTTTTGTCTGAAACGTTTTTCCGTATCTTCCATATTTTTCGAGATATTTGACTGGCTTTTTTAAAATGGACCATCCTGTATATATGATCATATTGAGACTATAAATTCACAAATGATTGTATCATATATAATTATATATAACTTTTTTCCTGGAATATCAGAAATAAGTATAAACAGTATTATTAATTGTGGTGCAACTGAGTAATTAATTTTGGTCTCATATACTATTAGCCTCAAATGATATTTTGTTCATATCAAAAACGTTTTTATGCGAAAACGCATTTTACATAGAATCCATATATATTTTTGTATTTCGAGTAATTATTATACCAGCAATATAGTAAAAATAACACGCATCTGCTTTGTATATGCTAAAAATATTTTATCAACATTCCAGTTTTCCCTATTCAACCTCAGTAAAAATATGCATTTGCATAAAATCCGCAATCTAGAAACTATACAGGGTCTATTTTAAGTGATAGAGCAAAAAATCTTCTCTGTAATGCATTGTAGACAAAGAGAAAAGTTGTAAGGTACAAAGCAATGTATTTAGTGATGTTAACAGTTTTACCTTGGGTTGCATCACCAAAATTAGATAAAGGTCAACTTTGGTTTTTTAAATAACAACCCTTATTTTTTATTACACAAATTTATTCCACTTGTCACTCTCCATATAAAAGTATTAAGATAAGATAATGGAAAAGTAAATGCTTTATGAGATATTTCACATTTTATTCTGATATTTTTTGATATAAATTCGTAAAGTAACACTTTCCAATAATTTTATTTTAATACTTTTATATATAGAATGGCGAGAGAAACTGAATGATACAATTTTTGCATATAATTAGATTAATGTAATGGCAAAATATAATCGAATTTTCAAAAACAAAAATTTGCTATATCACTTAAAATAGACACCTTGTATAGTTTAGATTGCAGATTTTATGCAAATAAAATAAAAAATATGAGTTCCTATATTTAAAAAAATAAACGGAAGTTGACTTTGGTTCAATTTTAGTAATATAACCCAAAATCAAAATTTTAATATGTCTAATTACTTTGTACCATACAACTTTTGTCTGAAATTTTTGTCATAGATACGTTATAATATAGAGAAGATATTTTGCTATATCACTACATATTGGGCAAATTGGGTTTATATATCGCATTGCTAGTACAAGACTATTGTAACTAAAAGAATTTAATTTCTTAATTACAAAAATATAAAACTTCCTTATGTTCAAATATAAATGGCTGAGATATAGCTTTAAAAATTATTTTTTATTGTTAAAATATTTATGAATTTATTTTACTTGAATTAACAATAAATGCAAAATAAGATAATACAGTGTCAAAGAATATCTTTTATATCATATAAAATATTTCGTAAAAAGGTTCTATTTATATCATGATTTACTTTAATAATCTAATCTTTTAAAATTATTCATTTTCTTGAAAAATAAAATTAAGTTATGACAGAAATGTAATGCCAGTGAAATGCAATTTTATCTGAAGATTCAATGGATGGAGAAACTTCCTCTTGTCTCGGTAAACTATTGCGAGAACGATGTCGTCTTTGATTACAATTTTGAGTAGATCTAGTTTCAGCTAAATATGGAATAAAATATAAAGATAGTAATTTATTATTCAAGCTGCATCTATGTACACCATAATTATTATACTAACAATAAGCAAGCTAGATTCATATTGACCTGATTCTAAAATTCTATCTGAATGTAAACTCGCATCTATTTCTTCATGATCATTGGCTGCAATCAATAAAATATTACATGTAATTAAAAAATTTTATAAATAATTATAGAAAGAATTTAGAAGATATTTTAAAATCTACTTATTATGAATACATCTTAATGAAAAAAACAGTTGTTATTTATGTGTATTTACCTTCAGACAGTAATTCTGGTTGCTGATAATGTTGATTAAAGCGTGAAAACATACGTAAAAAATGTTCTAAAGAAATATCACCATTCATAAGAGCACTTTGTCCTTCTTTAATTTGAATATTTCTTTGCTTATTAAATTGTGTGCGTGCTCTTCTAACACGTATATTATTTCGCAAGCGAGAATAATCAATTTCTTGGTTTGTTATAATTTCCGACAAGTGTTCTATAAAAAAAAATTATCACTATACATGCAATATATATATATATGTGTATGTAAAAATGTGAATACTATGTAAGCAAACTATCGAAATATGCATGTATTGCAGAAAGAAATTAAAAAAAAATATATATATATACCTAAAAATACCCATAGATTTGGATGAACTGTACCAACTTTTTGATTTGCAATGTGGTGGAAACTTTCCACTAAATTATTTGTACGAACATGACACAGATACTCAGATACTTTGGATGCTATAGGTAGCCAAGTGCTACGCAAATAAGTCATGAATAATAATACATTTGGATAAGTTGCAGAATGCAATATTTCAATATTTTGCATAATATTTAATGAATCCAGAAATAAAGAACTAGGTGCTAATGCCATAGACATGGATAACAATTCGCGAGGTGCACTATTTAGCTGTAGGCGTCGCCATTTTCTACAAAGCGCCTAGAACAAAAAAAAACATTTATTATTAACATAGTGCAACATTAAACTTTATTCACTTTTTTTCAATTATATCAAGAGACACGGTAGTGTCAAAATAATGGAATATATTCAAGAGAAAAAAATTTTAATTAAAAAACAAATTTAAGTATAAAATAACTTTAATTAGAGAAAAACTTGATGCTGCTAAATTGAATATATGCTAATCTAATGAATGTGTTATTTATATTTTGAATTTAGCAGCGCCAAGTTTTTCTCTAAGTAAAAAGTTATTTTATACTTAAATTAATTTTTTTGATTAAAAATTTTTTTCACTTAAATATATTCCACTATTTTGATCAT